ATTGGTTCAAAGAGTTTTTCTAGCCTAAAAGACAGGAAAAAGGAGTCAAAACCCTCTGGCAAATCCAGAAGGTGGATTAATTTTATTTTGTTGTTCCTGTGGGAAAAGAGCATGTTTTGGTGGCTGGAGGGAATGAAAACTGATAATAGCAATAAACTGCTAAAATAGTTTTAGTAATAACCTAAAAACTAACTGAAAAGAAGCCTCCATACATAACCAGTTTTGTCCGAACTGAAAACTAATTTGAGGTGTTTGTAGAAACAGTAAGATTAGCTTGTTGAATCTAGTTAGTACTTGTTTTCAGGAGGAGTATAGTTGAGGACATAGAAATTAACCGCAAAGGGCCTGGGATTAGGAAAAAGCAATTTTGTAATATGTATATCTTATTGTTTCTGTTTGGTTTTGTGCTGTCTTCTGAAGCACCTAGTTCTGGCTACTCAGAGAGCAAACATGGGAGCGTTTAGGCTGCGGATTTGATTTCATGGTGCAACTTGTGTTTGCCTAACAGTATGTGGAGTCTTAGAGCCTGCAAGACAAACAGATGTGTCTCTTTTTTCCTCATTTTTGGAAGGATGATAACTTCTTTACTGGCTTCAGAATTGCAGATTTTTTTCTCTGTGATTGATGAGGAGGGGGAGGTCTTTAAATATTGTTTATTTTCATTAAATGGTATAGTTCTCACAGTTCAGCAAGTATTATGCTGTCCTTTCACCTTGTGACTGAGAGCTCTCTCTAGGCTCGCCAGTGAACCATTTCAGCACGTGGGTCACAAGCAGCAAATCATCTGTCAAAAGAAAAGTCTGTCTCTCCTGTTGGCAGATCAAATTCTGCAGCGGTCTAGATCAAACTAATTGACGAGTTAACGTTTCCTTCCCTTCTCAGTAGCACTAGGTTCCTCTGGAGGAAGATGCCTGGACTGCATTTTGAAATATGATTTAGTCATGGTGGGGCCTGATTGTATATTGATTGCAGACTAAAAAGTTGCGAGCCAGATATATGGATTTCAGTGCTTCATTGTGCAGACTCTGAAAAAAGCCAGCAGGTGTTGCTTTCCTCTCTGCCCCCAATAATTGCTTTCCATGTGGCTTCAGATGCAGGCAGGAGGCATTGCAAGAGCTTCATCTATATTCAGCCAAGGAGGTGGTTTTCTTTTCTCCTCCTGTGCTGCTTCCAGTTGGCTGGTTTTTTGGACACTGTAACGTGTCGTGCAGCTCATATTACTAGAAAATACCCGTGTAGAAAATGAAAAAGCACGTACCAGGCCAAAAGTAACACGTGTTTCTGCATCTCTCTGTGTGGGAGAAAGGGGCAAACGGTTTCTGCCACTCAGATCGCAGCCTGGCAGGAGGCCAAGGGAAAAAAGCTCAGAAACAAACATGAGGAAAACCTGTTGTCACCACAAATAAAAAGGAACAGAACCTGATTTATCCCTGTAGCTGTGCCTGGAAACGATCCAGGTTTCATCAGGGAGTGTTACGACAGCAGTTTGTTCTTATTCTTCTTACTTCCCTTGCATAGCGGCTTCTCTGTTAGCCAAAGGCCATGTGGCAACAGAAAGGTTGTCTGACTTGCCCAGAGGCAGAGGGGAGCAGATTTTCTTGGCTACTTTTCATATATTCTTCTGTGTAGAGACTTTGTCTGCTGTCTTGCAGCTACATGGGTTTTCTGCTTCTCCTTCAAAAGGAGTTTGCATGGGCTGTTCCAGAAGGGGTGTTTGCTATTTGCGGCTTCTTTGATACTGCCCTCGAGCTCTTCTACCTGCAGAGAGCTGTTCTGCCAGGCGCACTGTAGGGGTACGGCAGTATGGTATGAGAGATTGCAAAAATTTGTCGCTTTCCTTTGAAAATATCCATAAGATGCTTGGAAGAAGCATCTGCAGCGTAGGCAGTGGGACACGTGCTTTCTAAAAGCTGTGACTGCCTTTGTCTTTCTCTCTGGCTCCCCAGACTTAAAGCAAATGAAGGTAATGAACTGCAGAAAGGGTTTCCTGGAGCATGGAGTTTGACATAAATTTGGAAAAAGGGCTGTGGACAAGTCATGTAACAGAAGCAGAACCTCTTGCTGCAGCCCCAGTTCACCAGGTCCACAGATGAGAATGGAGCGCTTGGTGATCTTATGATGCGTTTAATCTATGTTGTTTAACACCTGCCTGAATTCTGCCTGCCTTTTTAGAAGTCTGTGCTTCTTACTAAATAACTCCTATGAATCTGCAGCAAAACTTACAGATTAAGTACAGATTACAGACTGGGGAAAATAGGTTTTGGCTGACAACCTCCCTTCCCTTTTAAAGATGAACTCGAGAGGCAATCAAGAGCACCCCTCAGTTCCTGTGTTTCACTTCTTTTTCTGCTTTTGTTCTTGTTTCTGGAGGTTCAGAAAATTGGAGGATGTGCCTTCCCTATGCTGAAAGCAACAGCCTAGCTACCCACGAAAGTTTTCCCCCACGAGGCTGCTGGATAAGTCATTTTCTGTTCTTTCCCTGCTCCTGTTTTTATGCCTGCCCCTTATCGCACAGTTTGGCCTCTTGTGGAACCCTTTACATGTGGTTTCTCTGGTTTGCCGTCAGATCTTCCCAAAGACAAGCATGCTGTTTCCAAGTGAGAATAGCCTGAGTCTCAGAGAAGCAAAATAGTTCAAAAAGAGCTGAATCTAGCCAAAACCAGTGAATTTTGGGGCTGTGCTCGGTCATCACTGTCGTGGTTTGGACTGGACTGGCCACTGAAAATTGGTTCTGTTTTACCTCAAACCAGGTATTCAGCTGTCTTTGCAGATGTACTATTGGAAAAAACTAGCAGCAAGCAAGAGGCTGGGGGACAAGGTAGCACTGATTATAGAAAAGGCACTTTCTCCCTTGAATCCCCGGTAATAAAGTGCTCTTACTCTACTTTGGTCCCTCCTGAAAAGTAGTTGATCTGCTGTGATGATGCGCTTGCTCTTGGCAGCCTTCATGCGGTGCAGTTAAGGCAGAGAATGATGTCAGTGTCTGTCCCCTGAGTCCCTGTCCTGGGAATGACAGCAGGTCTGTGAAGTCATGAATGATGAGGAGTGCACATCACAAGGGAGGAAAAATTACCCCATTAGCAGGCGGAATTCAGGATAGTTTCCAACAGCCAGAGGAAGGCCGTCATTACACTGGATGTGATAGCTGTGATGTTTCTGTGTTGGCTCTGTCTGTAAGGCCTCTGGCAGTGTTTCATCTGAGCAAGGAGTGTCTAAGAGGTGTTTTCACCTTAAGGGAGAAATTATCTGTCTCTGAGGAGCTCTGAGCGGCAGCGTCTGCTATACAGCCAGTTATTCCAGTACTGAACATCTGGAAAAGGCATTGAGTTTTTTGGCATATAGCTTGAAGTTGCTGTATAAATAAAACTTGCCAAACATCTCAGTCTTGTTTGCAGAAATTATTTTCTGTCTTCAGAGGGTGGTTTTTTTTGTTTTGTTTTAACATGAGGCATAAGTTCCTGTGAAGCTTGGATACTTTGGAAAACCTTGCAGTTCCTTCCTCCCTGGTCCCAAAAGGCTGTGTTCTTTGGTGGATTTTCTGGTGTATGCTGTGTATGTCTGTTGTCAGAGTTTGTGTTTAGTGTTGCTGTGGCAACCTCTGAAGCTTTGAATAGCTGCTGTCATCCTCAGGCAGAGGTTTTGGTTTTTGTGATAAGCATATGTGCTTTTTGTTTACTCCCAGTGCCAGTTTTACCTGATAGCAGGGGGAAATTTGGCAAATGATGACCACTTGGAGAGTTCTCTGAGGGTGGCGTTGTGGACATGCAATTGCTTTAGGGATTGCATCAAGCAGTTGCACTAACATTTCAAAAATGGGATTCATCATTTAATGGATAATGACTGGATTTTGTTGTCCTAAGGATGAGATGCATAGGCAGGTAGGTGAGAGGGATGGTTAATATGTGCTGAAGGGTGAAGACAGTGAGTAAGCGGGAATATATTCTTACCCTGGAGGATGCCAGGTTGTAGCTCGGAGTGCACGAGCTCCCCTTGGGCGTAAGGAATAGAGAAAGTGAAAAACATGCACGAGACAACCAGATTTCCCCTTTTTCTCCTTCACAATGTCAGATACCAGGTTTAAAGATTTGTTTTGTTGATAAAATTTAGCTTTCACCTTCACCTTTCTCATATAACGAATCAGAGTGATAAAATGAACCCTTATCTGACCCACTTAACAGCATGGGAGTGATTTAAGTTCCTTCACATAGTAAA